TGCCCTTCACGCCGCCCATCGTCAAGCGGCTGCTGGGCTGGAAGAAGGGCGAGCAGAACGGGCAGGAGGAGAAGTGGTGCGAGAAGGCGGTGAAGAGCCTGGTGAAGAAGCTCAAGAAGACCGGGCAGCTGGACGAGCTGGAGAAGGCCATCACCACGCAGAGCGTCAACACCAAGTGCATCACCATCCCCAGGTACGCGCCTCTGGGCATGTGCCGAGCGCCCGCGGCGCGTGGCTCCCGCGGCCTTGGCGTGGCCCTCCGTGGCAAGTCCTCCGGCCGGTGCCCCTCGCCGCTGCCCGCCGGGGGATCCGGGGCTCGCGGCCGCGCGCTCTGCCGCCGCGCCTTGGCGCTTGCCACTAGGGCGCCCTGCTTCCCCTCACCCCTTCCTGCTGCTGCCCAGCGCCTGTGCGAGTCCTTCACGTGTTTGGACCACGGGGAAGAGTCTGCCCCGTGCTGGCGACCGCGAGTGCCGGAGAGCCCGGCGCAGCTCTCTTCCAAGCGCGCAAGTCTGGGTGTCCTGGGCCCGTTCGGGCGGGCGGGCGGGGGCTCCGCGCCTCCCCCCCCCCCCCGCGCAGGGCCCTTGCCCGCCAGGCCTCGCGCTGCAGGGCTTCGCTGGCGTGATTCACAGCGCAGCTCCATCCTTGGGCGGCATCCCGCGGAAGCTCAGGGGGGGGGGGGCTCCTGCGCAGCGGGGGGGCACCCTAAAGAGCAGAAATGGGGGTAGAGGAGCACCTGTGTTTCAGGAGGATAGGTCGATGGGAGAATGTGCATCTTCCAAAACACTTTTCGAACGGTTACTTCTACTACTAAGTTCTGAAAGTTTAGAATTTCACCAGAAGCTTCGTGATCCTTTGTGGTATGTTTTGAAACTGCAGTACCACAAAAGCAAAATTTTAATGTTAAACTCCGGATTGCAATGCCTAGTGGTCTTTGTCACTTTTCTTTGAACCAAAATTAATGAAATTAAAATTAATGAAATCGAAATTAATGAAATGTAAAGACTCTGTTTGCAGTAGAGACCATAAAGTCCTTGTGCAGCTTAAAGGGGCAGAGAAAGAGGCAATAAATATAATAAAAGGCGCCAGATTGGCCCATGGCGTGGAAGAGCCGCACGTGGATCTTTTCTCTTCTCACACATGGGATGGTTTCTTTCTTGACAGCCTGGCCTGCTCAGCAGCCCATTCTCAGGCTGCGGAGGGTGTGTATCTGCCCTTTTGAATTCACAATCCTCTTTTGGGCCATTGTGACATGGGAACCCAGGTGGGTTATATGAGGTTGAACAAAGCTTGCATAACTCGCAGTCTGTTTTAGGGTTCTGCAAGGGTTGATTGACCCTCCAGTAACCCATGCTTACCGCAGCTGCAAGACATGACAGCCCCCCCAGTCGGGCATCCATGGGCCTAACCCACAAGCCACGACCTCGGAGGTGAACTAGGGAGCTGAGAGTGAGTGCTCTGACTAAGGCCTTCCAGAAAGCTTTGTGACTGACCTGCTGTGGCTGAACCCACATCAGTATACTGTCACTGTCACTGCCCCTGGGTAGGCCAGCCTTCCCTAGTGTGGTGTCCTCCAGACGTTTTGGGCTCAGCTCCCTCAGGCCAGCGGTCAGGATGCTGGGAGTTGGTAGTCCAAAACAGGTTGGGAAAGGCTGGAGAATGGGTGCTTTGGACGCTCTCACAGAAGCACCTGCTGCCGGTCAGGGCTGCGTCTGCGCAGAGGCAGAAGCAAACCCTGATTAGAAGAAGCCACGTTTGGTGGGACTGGTTTCCAAATCAGCCGAGGGAGACAGGCAGCTAGCAACACCTTTCTGACGCACTCGCAGGAAGCTTGGCACATGTGCGCACACTCCCGGAAGTTAGAAAAGCCACCGACCTGCTCTGGTTCCTCACCTGATAGCTGCATGGAGCCCAAAGGCTTGCGGGCCGTTTGCCTCTGAGCACTGAGTGGGGAAGCACCACTGTCTTCAGCACATGGTGGCGCAGCATTGTGCAAGTATTGGAGGCTCCCACGAGCAGCTCGGAACTTGCTTTCCCAGTGAGCCTCCCGGGACAGGCCGCTTGGGCAGCCTCACTGTGACGGTCCTTGCTGGAACGCCTCTCCCAACGGTTGTGTGTTCTTCATTGCTTATATTTACATTCCACCTTCTCTCCTGCAGGGAACCCAAAGCGGCTTGCACAGCGTTAATCCATCCTTCTGTTTTAGCCCTAGGCTGAGAGTGCCTAGCCCATAGTGAGCGTACAGATGAGCGGGGACTGGAACCCAGATCGCTCGATTCTGTCCAGCCATCTTAGCCAGCGGTGGAAAATGTAACCTAACATCTGGAGGGTCACATGATCCCTTCCTTACAGCTATTTCAGATACATGTGGACTTAGAGACACATTCACGTACACCCAAAAACAGAACGTTGTTAATCCTGGGTTTCTAGAATGGGTGCCCACAAGAAGCATATATGAATGAGGGAATCTGCAAATGTTCTGGTGGTGTCACTGCATCCAGATCTCTGGCTTCTACCTTGTACGGGTTTTTGTGCTCTCTTGCCCCGTCCTGCGTTTCTCCCTTGTCCTTTCTTTTGCAAGCCACTTCATCGGCCCAAGCAGCCATTTTTGCCCCTTCTAGCAAGGTTCTGCAAGGCCCAGATGCAGCGGGTGGGTTTGCATTTGAACCAAGGAATTCCTCGCTCTTATTTTCTCCAGTCATTTTTACGCTGGGAGCGTTTTTGTGGTTGAGTGTGATTGTTTGTTCACACTCACAAATTGGAGGTGCATAAATATTCATAATTTTCCGTAACTGTTTCGGAGGGGTGGGAGCTTTGCTTGGCATTGTATTTTAAAGTTCCGCTGATCTGGAAAAACAGCTGTTTGAAATCTTTAATTTTCTCCTTGAAGACAACGTGGTCGCCCCGTCGCCCCCGTTTGGAGAAGGCTAAAGTTTATGCCGTGCTGCCAAGAAAGCTGTGAAACGGTGCTCTCCCCCATTCGTTTCTGTCCTTGTCTCTTGCTTTCCCAGCGCTCCCCAACTGCATGTCTTGGCTGTCAGAATGATTTAGTGCAGAATGACTGGCTCACACAAAGAGGCATCTGTTGGGCCAGCCAGCTGAGAAGATGCATGGCTTAAGCGGCTCGCGTAGCAGAGAAACATTTCTCTTCTGAAAGACAACTTCCGATGCACCCTTATTTTGAACTGGCATGGCGTTGTGCCCTGCTGCATTTTGGGAACACCGGGAGATCAGTCTGTGCATAACTGGGTGGAAACGACCCTCCTCCTCTGCCGCCGCGCCTCCTTCTCTTTGGAGGGGTTTTGCTCAAGGTTGGGCTCACAACTGATCCTTCTATTTGCAGCTGAGAAGGAATTTCAGATTCCATCTCAGGAATCCCCCCCACCCCCAGCCGCCAGGCTGGCCCATGACCCTGGCTTCCCCCTCCCCGGCAATGTGTGGACGAGCTCCCTTTCTTGGGGACTGGAGCCGGTTGCTCTGCAGTCTGGAAAATAAAGATTGATGGAAGGGAGCTGGTGTGCCTCTGAGCAAAAGGGGTGGGTGGGATCGCCTCCAGGGGTACCTTGCAGAGCTGGCTTGCATTGCGTAAGTTACTCCCTTCAGAAAAAGCCTGATCTTCCGTTGTGTCAGAGCACAATAGGTTTTTCTAAGCCGGACAGTTTCTGTGGCTCGCTCAGAATTGTGTGCTCTGATATGGGACGAAGCGGTTGCATTCCTCTTCTGTGTGAATCAGCCGGCCTGTGGCATGCGTCAGACTCTCTTCCTTCCCAAGAAGAGAGAACTCCGGCTAGTTCCGGCTCTTCAGACTCAATCTGGGAGCAAAGAACACACCTTCTGCCATGCTCTTTTCTGTTGTGCCAAGTGGCTGATTGGGCGGGCAGGCGTCTCTGGGCCGCCTCTTCCTTTCTTGCCATTCTTTCTCTGAGCTTCCCACCCACTGCTGCCTGGGAAATGTGCCCTCCCCATCACGGGGACAAGGACAGATTGGCTGCCCCCCTTTCACAAGGGCCCCCTGGTTCACCGTGGGGCTAATTCTCTCTGCAAGTGTTTTGTAGCGGTGGAGATCCGTTGTGTTTTTTCTGCCAACCTCAGAGCAACTTTCTCCGCCCTGGCACTGCCCAGATGTTTTGGACACCAGCTTCTGTGACTGATGGGCCAGGAGTTGGTTCTGGAACTTGCAGTCTAATGCATCTGGAGACCACCTGGTGGAGAAGTTTGCCTCAGAGACTTGTGATTCCCTGCACAGGGTAAGTCTCTTGGGCAAAAAATATGCATGGAGGAAGTTGCAGGCCTCCGTGCGTGCCGGTTGAAGTGCAGTGTGGGATAAGTGGATGATCCAAAGGAAGACGATATTTTGGGGGCCGGGTACAAGACGCCTGTGATAGCACTGCCCTAGGAAGAGGACATTCAGTGCGCATGCCGTTGATAAGGCCTGCAGCCAGGCCAGCGGGCGAGGAGGGTCCCCGTGAAGAACTTCCAGAAGCGCCGGCTGGGGGGACGCGAGGAGGCCGTCCATGGGGATCGTGGGCTTTGGGGGACGGTGGCCGTGTCAGGCTGAGCCGTGGGCGTTGCGAGCTGCTTTCTGAGCTCAGTTCCAGGGGTTGCTTGCCACCTTAGACGCTCTAAATAGCTTGGGGCCTGCCTGGCTGCCACAATATGAAAATGCCTGGTTAAGAAGCTCAGCGCTTTCTGGCAGTCCGTTCGTCCACCGTGCTGCAAAGGGGCTGCGTTGCTCCCAAACCCTAGAACTGCAGCGGCCCCCATTCCCCTCCGTCTGCAGAAATGGGGGATCAAGGCTCAGCTTTTGAACTTGACCTCTCAAACTGTTACAGTTTTAAGGTTGTGTCTAACGTGCTTCTCTGTTATTATTTGATGTTTTTATTTTCCTATCTTTTCTGAAACTGTCTTTCTTGGCTTCAGGAAGGTGATTTAAAATTAATTAACTAATAAAAATGAATGTGGCTAAATCTATTGCTGGATAAAAGTTTCTACTGTAATAAATTAGAAATCTACAGCTTGTGTGTAGCTTATGGGTCTTATGCATTGTTAAGGCTGGGAGTTGTTTTTTTTTTTTTTTTAAACCAAGAAATGTTTCCCAGAGATCTGGGTATAGTTCTTTATGAATACAATGGAGCTACTTAAAAATAAATCTTTGTGCTCTAGGAATTGCTTGGCATGCTCTTTAGCCTCCTCTTG